GTTTTGTTTACAGATTTTTCATAAAAATGAATGTTATCGGTTCTGTTATAATGTATTGTTAATGATTAATTTGTATAAATGACGTCTTCTTCATTATTGTATCAGATTTCTCTTCCATTCTTTTATGCCAAATAAAAAGAAGATCTAGTATATGAAAAGTTTTACCTTCAGTATTCATTTAATATTTATGTAAATTTTGTACGAGTTGCAAGTTTAAAAATTATTTATATTTTTAAGATTGCTAGGTTTATAAATTTCGTGCTGGCCCCTCTCTAACTTGCTCACCCTACTGCCTCAATTGTGATGCCTCCACGCAAATAACAACACCATATTGATAAGTCACCTAGTGTGCTGGAGAATCCAAATATATTGGACGCAAATGTTGTGCAACGCCTCACAAACGTTTGCAATTCTTTTCAGCTTCTTTGGGTTCTAGAAACTCTTTCGTTCTTCCTGCAAAATGCGCGAGCGGCCTAGAGCAATGTTCAAAAACTGCAGTTAGATTTTCGAATTATTAAATATTATAATGCCGTTTGTAAATGTTAGAAACAATTTACCTACTCGTTTTGAGATAGCAATAGTGGGTCAGAAGCATTCCGCCAAGCCTTTCTCGCCCGTCTCATAGTGATGTTTTCTGCATTCCTGTTGTCATTGTTCCACTCTTCACTGAACGGACGTAGAAGTATGTTACGATACATTATGCTGGATATGTACATTGCATGTAAATTGCAATTGGATGTCAGATGTTCTTGCTTTTATTCTCTTTAATAGTATAAGAATAGAGACTATACAGTATAAAAACGTTGAACCACTTTTAACATAATTTCCACTTTTAAACAAAATTTTTAAACCGCTTTTCAGCATAATTTTTGAACCACTGAAGAATTTCCGTTGATAGAAACGAGCAGAGTCCAAATGCAAGAGAAATAAAACCCAACCTACTTGTGTTAAATGTTTACTTTTCTAATTTTCCTCTTCTTCACAGACCGAATTTATTTTATTCATTTCTGCTTATAAAATTATTGTTCCACAATTCCAACAAATTCATTTAATAGCGTAGCGAACACGTCTCAATTATTACTTTAAGGGTAGATGGATTATTTACTGACTATGCTGCAATATGTGTAGGCAATGAGCTGGACTTCTTGGGTGATTTATGCACTTGCTGTTGTTGAGTTTGACCCCATTGGTCTGGACATGACGATAAATCTCTACCAGGAGGCACGTGCCTACTACCGATATCGCGTAGATTTTCCTGCAACGCATCCTAAAAATACTTTATTATAACAGTTCCGTTTCACTTACCTATTCTGTGCCACTTCGATACCCATCATCTTCTGCATTAATTCCGTCAAAATTGTTGCTAGTGTGGTCATAAACATTATCTTCGCTGAATGAATGAATGCGCATTAACTTGTAGGCCAAAATCATAATATCGGCAAAAATACACTTCTCACAGAACTTCTATAGTATTCGTATTTAATAGGATGCAAATTTAAAGCTCCCTCCGAATTGAACCAACTGCTGGAGTGGTAACTGTCATGACAAAATGAAAATTTACATTAATCAACAACCAATTTTCAACAGCTGAGAGGCAGACAGTCATCGCTATTATGTGTTTACGCGTTCATCGTCTGTTGGTGAAACAATGTCTAAAATGGACAGTTGTCCGTCAGCACATATTTTCCCTTCAGTGCAAATTGATTGAGAGAAGGATCAGCATAAAACTATAAGAATGTGCAAACGTTTGAACATTTTTACAAGAATATAACAGTGAAAGAAAACTGAGGGATTGAAGTATAGGAAATGATTTAACACAAAAAAAACCGTTCTTTATTAGCTTCATAGCGAAGTTCCTGCAACTGAAGACGAAAAAAGTGAAAATTGTCTTTAACAAGCCAGGCCTTTCCACCATTTTAGCTTTCATCCTTCGAAAGTAACAATATTTCTATTAACAAGGGAAAATTTTGAAAAACCACCATCAAATAATTACTTCGAAGATGGAATAAATAACGTGTAGAACGACCGCAAAAATATATCTTCACTATGTGAAACTATATATTTACATTCATATATATATTAAGAATTATATAAGATTATTTCTATGGCCAAAAATGAACTTGTGAAGGAATAAAAATGTCAATTAATGCTTATTGACAACTTCGTACCGGTAGAATTATAAGAGTTTTCTTTTTTATCTTAATTAGAAACGTCAATGTTTAGTTAGAAAACAAATGTAGCTGGTAAGCCTTTAACAAAAAAAATTGTGTATTTTAAAGCGAAGCCGTTAAGAAATGCATTAACAGCTTCATCCTAGATGATTCTTTAAACCGCTCTCTTATATTACTTTCGCTACCTTTTTGCCTGTTGGTACTACTTCCAAATCAATTAGAGCTAGCTTTACAAATGATATCTCATCGCGATAGATTGCGTAAATACGTAAATATTATTTTTTTATTTCAATGTTTATATACTACCAAGTTTTACTAGTAAACTACATCGGTTAATACACTATATTTCAAGAATACAATACAGAACTGACTTATCGAGACTTAAGACTCACAAAATGAAGAGAAGTCTTAGTAATGATAATAATAATAAACATTAAATTAGAATATGATTAAAATTGAAAAACATTAAAAAACTTGCATCTACTTAGACAGTAATATAATATATAATACATAGGATAAATTAGATCAAATTCTAAGATAGAAGAAATTTGACTGTCTATCATCGTTCGAAGAAAACAACCAAACTATTAATGAAATTCAACAACAACGAAAGCAAGATAATAGTAACAGAAACATGTCTTTTTGGAATTTATTTAAAGTTTGACTTGCTCTATAAAATATTTAATGGCCGCAGTATATTGACTGGCAAAGTTAGCATAATCATTAGTTTTTTAATTAAGCACTAAAATGAATTGTTGCACGAGATAATAACTGTCTTGTTGTAGTTTTTAGTAAAATTTTATTTTTTGGTAAAACAGCTAAAATTGTATTAAAAAACGAGAACACCCCATAAATCTATAATAGAAACTACCAAAATGATAAAAAAAATTTTTAAAACTATAACAGAGATTATCCAAATCATTCAAATGTTCAATCAAAGATATAATGAAAACTTCGACAGAAATCGAGCTGCAACAAGAATATATGAGCTGTAATAGACTGGCATGATAAAATTATCCTTATAAACATGTTGCAATCCTTTGAGCAACATTCCTACTATTAAGTGGTAATCATGTACGTTTGTTTATTATTTTTTTCCTCAAGTCAATATAGGCAATAATTGTCTTCGATTTGTTTTTCATAAATATCCTAGGCCATAAATATCCCCGACCATAAATATCTTGACCTTAAAGTAAAAATGCATTTTCTTTCCTAGAAACGCTGCAATAGAACTTGCATATAGAACATGTATAGAACATGTATGCAGGACAGGGACAAAACTATCCTAAAAAACTGTTGGGAATCAACACGAACACAATCAGAAAATTTCTTGTATTCTTCTTCTTTCTTGTGTTTTTCTTTACATATTTGAAAGTTGGGACATTTTTGTTATTCATGTGTATAAATATGTATTAAATAGTTTATATATCGGGGATATTTGTCATGGTGTAGGATGTTTAACAATACATTCAAGTGCGAAATCTGATGGTTTCGAAACAAATAAAACCAAACAACCAACAAAACCAACAATATAAACAAACAATATTAATAATTTATTTATTTTTATTATTTGAAATTTCTTTTACAGTAATGTGCAACACTTAAGTAAAAATCGCTATACAACCACCATTGATTGTCAACAAGTTCAAGGAAACGGCTAAACGGAAATATGTAATTTCTGCTTAAGTCATAAGTCACACCAACTTTCTATAAAATGTATTTAAAAGCACCTTTTGACAAACGTCTGCAAACATCTACATGCAATGATATATACGTGTTTCTATATAAATTGTCCGTGAATACAAAATCACTCACATACCTTCATTCACAGAACTGCGTCTTACAAGTTCCCTTTTCCAATTTTGATCTTCCTCTGCTGTCAAATAACATAATATGAGGAAAGAAACCATTTTGCCTGATCTTTATATTCATCAACACTGATTATTTAATAACAATTTTTTACAACATTTTACTTGTCTTTACATCCTTATACATCCCGTAAAGTGATGAGTTTTTATTATTTGTTGATCCTTTGTGCTTTATCAATGATAGTGGCAGTATATGATAAAGTATGGAAAGATTGATGATTCGACAAAAATTACAAACTTTGGCAAATTAAGAATATTAATAAGGTAATTGTAATAAAAAGCAAAAAGAAAAGAATTAATTTGCTTACCTTATACAAAACTAAAATCTTTACTTTGGCTCAGTTGTTTGTAATTAAACAATTTTGTTTGGAGTATATTTTGTTCTCAATATACAGATGTTTTCTCTTATAAATGCAGCTCTAAACAATCAATACTGACGTTAAGCGTCACCTATTTTGCTTATTCCCTATTTGACAAATATGAGAGACCATTCGTTGTATCTATTGCAGATAAATCTAATCATAATTAGTGTCGTGATTAATAACTTTTTGGATTCTATTACCTTCCCTTCCAAAGTAAACCCCGTTTTATTAAACTTTATTTGCCTTAAAAAGGGCAAAATGGCTATTAAATGCACTTTTCGCTATTTAATGCTCTTTATCCAGTATACTAAAAGTTTCGTTTTAGTTTTGCGGAAATTTTTTGAAGTTCATCGTTAATTTTACAACGCTACAAATGTAAAACTAGCGAATTTTTGTAGACTTTAATTTTATTCTTAAATAAATGTAACTTCGACAACTCTGATCAAGTGATCATATGCTTTCGTGCTTTTTCTTCTACGTAATTTTTATGGCTTACATCGCATTATGTTCTCATTTTTGTAATACAATTTGTAATTTTAATCTCTGATTCTTTGTTAATTTTTTTAGTAAATAGCTCAACTTGCTCTTTTACGTACACGGGCCATCACAAATGAAAATTTATTTTGGCTCGCTGCCAGTGATGTAAATATTGTAATTTGAAACTTATGATAACAGCCTAAATTTTTCAGTAGAGAGTAGTATAAGGTTACTATCAACTATTTGTAATGTTATTGCGTCAGGAAAATTTCAGTAGCGTCCTCCTACTCTCATAAAGTTAACCAGATGTGAATGAAATTTCGTCTTACAGCATCATCCACTATGAAGGAAAGATTATTTGATTTTCTTTTTTCAATTATTTGTAATTGGCCAACAGAAGAAAAAGATCTAAGTATATATATATTTGTCAATCTGTAACGTGGGGACTTTGGAGAACGTTTGGAGGAAAAACTTTCATTCTTTAGGTTATCTGTGGTAGTCCGTACTGATTGCTCTCCTTGTTATCGTTTATAGAAGTTCTGACTTTTGTGCATTCAGTGACGGCAATGACCGATTTTCTAGAAGGAGTATTTTTTCCTGTTCGTGTCAATGCTTGTAGTAAAATTTTTGCTAAAGTTTCTAGTATTTTACATTACTTGTTAAACATCTATTTTTGTAATGTTGAAAACAGTCGAAAGCAATCCAAAACATGAGAAGTTGTCACCATTGATGGAAATGTTTTTTCATTTAGTTGAAAAGATTTGTTGCGACTGACCACTTGTACCACTTGTTGATTTTGATAATTTTGTATGAATTATTGGAAAAATTGCTCAAAAGGGAATCGTTTAGTGTAACTTAAAGACCAGAATAAGAAAATACGAAAAAATTATGAAAAAACGCACTAAGAGTGTAAAATAAAAAAAAAAAAAAAATGTATATAAACTTGTTTCTCATTTTTGAGATAGCAGTGGGTTTTGGGAAGTAAGCGTTTGTTTAGAAAAACGCGAGCAAAGCTTCGCTTTTATTTTTATCGAACAAAAAAATTATTAAATTATCTTTCAAGATGCGTAAACGTCCCATGTCTTCCATGGCCGTCTTTGCGATAGGTGTATCTATAAAATCGTAAATTTTGTGTTCAAAATACTTTCTTTAAATAGAAAAAAATTTCTATCTAAATTCGCGCACACAAACAAATAAATAAACAACGCTTTGTATTTACTTGCTTGATTATGTTGTTAGTCTCCTGCTCTTTCAGTTTCTTCTCGCGATTTCGACTTAGTTTCGTTCGCTTTCTGGTTTTATATATATTACATAAGAATTGTGTTCGTTATGCTAAACTTTAAGCGGGCTAATTTTTGATGTCGTGTTAGCATTATATCTAAAGAATTGTGGGTGAAGAGTGGTTAATGAAAAAAACAAGAAAACATCAATAATTATAAAAATAAACATTAAGAAGCTAATAACAAAAAGAAAGAAATAAATAAAAAATTAGGGCGAAAAATGTGAACGGGTTGAGTGATAGTTAAAGAAAATTAGAAAGAAAAAGAATTTTATACATTAAATTTAAAAAATTTTTGATAAGGACACAATATTTCATATAAACACAAGTAAGTGAAATACTATTTCTTTCATAATAAAGAGGAATGTAGCAGAAATGTCAGACAAGTCTGCTTTTCCAAACAACCCCGCTTTGTTCGGTTATTTTCATATGAACGCCCACTTTCCTAATAAGTAAATTTTAAACAAATTTTACTAAAATATCGTTTCACTTTAAAATCTTTAAAAAATTTATATAACAATTTCTCATTTCGCTACATTGGAAAATTATATGAAAATTTCTAAACAAATGTTTAGGCAAACATATTTGGGCATTTTCGTACCAATGGCCTTTTTTTAATAATTTCAGATTTTACTCAGTGAGTAGAAGTCTTCCGCAAGTTCTTTTTACATTCGTTACTATCCAAATCAATCTAAGTATTTTTAAAACAAACTGTTTGCTTAAAACTCTTGCACGCAGAAATATCACAACGAAAGCTAGAGATGTTTTGGACATTACAATAAAACCACGTAATGTTCGCCAGTCTTCGAAAATGATTCCATACAGAGTGTTCTATTCTTTCATGTTGCGTTGAAATTTCAAATAAGTTTAAACTATGTTCAGACTCGGCATATAGTTATTATGTACCGAAGAAATTGGTTTTTTATAACATCTGGCTTTCTTTCAGTTCAGCATAAAATGAAAAAATTGTAATCATTCTATGAAGCATATGTCATCGTCATTGAAGAATTTAAAAAAAAAATTATATATTACGTTTTTATCGGAATTAAACAAAAAGCAGAAAATCCAGAGAATATGCAAGCAAATCGTTGCGTAGCTCTTTCAATCAGTCCCTTGCAATAAATTTGCAATATTCGCGCTGCTCCACATTACGCAGTGTATGTATTTCCGCTCACTTCAAAAATTTGGCAAATCCAATATGTTCCCGGTGGTGGGCACTGGATCATCCACAAATTCATCTAAAGAATGAAGCCTCCAGGTTAAAAAATATATATAAGCGCTATATATATATGTAGCGACGTCTTAGCTAGTTTAGTGTTAGCTTTTCCTTTCATTTGACGCACTGCATTTTGTGAATTTCTAAGCGTACACACCAACATCTAACTCGGCTCGAGTATATTGCATTGTATTTCGAAAAGTACGTTTGGGGTGATAACTTTTAAAATTTGCTGCCAATCGAATATAATTTTCTTACTTGATACTTCAATATTGAAGTAAATACTTTCGTATGTTCGGTGTTAACAACGATACAAAATTCGGAAATGAAGTTATGTCGATGTTATAATGCTTATTTAATTAGGTTTTAAATTTTATGACGAATTAATTAAGCATTTATCAATTTTAAGAAAATTCGATTATGTTTGAAGGTTAACAACATAGTATCATTACATTTGTGTCAACGTTTCCAATGGCTCTCCATTTTCGTCTTCCCACTATCTCCACGTATTCCTATTTTTGCTTCATCTTCTTCCTATTGATATCTTCAGCAGTGTTGCAGCTGTCTTAGCACTCTTAATCACATTGTTTCTGGGACAGCTGGTATATTTTTGCTTTGCCAACTTCCCGGAGATAGTTGTAAATCGGTGTCCACCTTCTGCTAATTCCGCCACTAATTCCGATTCAACTGTCAACTATCCATATTCGAAATCGATTCCCAACAAGATCATTTCTGAAAATGATGTTCGAGATGGTTTAAGGTCTCTAAAATATAGTTCTGCGCCTGGACCAGTGTTATCTCAGATTTTTAATCAGTCCTTGAAATTTGGTGTTCTCCTTTTGTGTTGGAAGAGTAGTTTCTTTACTCCAATTCGCAAATGTGGAAATAGATATCACTCAGAGAACTATAGAGGCTCAGTCAAGTCGCGTGTCTTACCTAAATTGTTTGAGCGAATTGTTTCTCAGTATTTAACTTTTAACTCTTCATTCCAGCATAGCTCTCAGAAAGGAAGATCTACTGTCAGCAATCTCTTAGAGTTTACTTATCATCTTTTCAACGCCTTTTCTAGTGGCCCTCGTATGAATGTCGTGTACACTAATTTTAAGTCCGAGCTAAGTTTCAGTAAGAGATGGAGAGGTCCAAACTGCTTAAGAATCCTTATATTACAAAATGGCTACACATGTGCTTAGTTAGGAGTTTGAGTTGGAACCCGCTTGTCTCTCTATCTCCTTGGGAAAATAGGTTGCATCTGGTATCCTTACTGTGAGAAAAGTGTTTCCTTCCAATATGGAGTTAATTAATGGTACTATCGATTCGCGCACATTACTTTGTGAGATAAGCTTTAACGTTCCTATTTGCGTCTCTATGCAATTTATTGTCATTAACCATACGCAATGTAAATATAATTAAGAGATGTTTAATCCGTTCACAGTTGGTTGCAGACCCCTAAACGATGTGCATCACTTAATCTCAATAGAGGATTCTTTAAAGTCGACCAAAATAACTTTGCTCAACACACGCGATTTGCCTACGTCGTATTTAAACTAACTTTTATCTTTAATATCTTATTATGATTCAAAAATTAATTGGTGTTGCTTACAGTATCGGTGGCTTTTTCCTGTTTTTGCGATGCTTTAGGGGTTCACTTGCAATTTGGTTCTGTACAGGTTGTTGGTGTGCCTTCGTGCTAGTTGCGCAAATGCTTTTCTCCTTTTTCTTTTTTCCTATTTATTTATACATGAATTATTATTTAATAATTATTATTTTTATTTTTTTTCTTTACTTCTCCTTATCCTAGTTATACCCACCACTGTTAGACGGGGGCATACTTATTTTGCTTTTTTTTTTTTCAAAAGAAAGCTTCAGAGACCCTATGAAGTACATATATTCCTAATCAGCATGAAATTCCGAGTTGATTAAGCCACGTCTGTCTGTGTATTGAAAACGGCCAAATTGGTCAGAGCAGAAGCCCGCAGTGAAGCATAAACTGAACGTAACTGCGTGTTTCCTAACAAAAATTTGTAGGTTTTTGCTCGCTTGTACGAAATTATAAAAGTTAGAAGGTTGAGCTTTTCCGTGTTTACTTTGCGAAACACTCTACGCCTTATATCCACATATAAAAAACATCGGCCTTGCCGTACAAAGTTACAAGCGGTTAAATAACCTTTTTTTCAGTTTTTTCAGGTTTTATGTTTATTTATCATAAGGCAAACAAGACAGACTGTGTTAAGACTATTTTGTACACTCCTCTAGAAGACATATTATTTGCCTAAAAATGGGTTAATTTTAAAACGAATACGGTAAACACCATATTAGCGGCGATATGGGTGTATGGAGAGTAGAATGCGATTTATTTTAGTTGAGTCTCATGTGTACGTAAATAAATAAACAAATAGCGGTATAGTGAATTACGTCGAGTTCA